CCTAACCTGTGGATTTGCGCCCCCTAACCCGTGGATTTGCCCTAACCCCAGATGTTGCGCCCGGTGCGGCCGGCCCCCCCTGCACCCCCCACGCTACGCCACTGCTGGGCTGAGGCAATATAGGGCTTTAAAGGTCAACACCAACACTTTGAATTGTGCTCAGAAATGTACTGGGAGCCAATGTGGGTCTTTCAGGACCGGTGTTATATGGTCTTGACGGCCACCCCTAGTCACCAGTCTAGCTGCTGCATTCTGGATTAGTTGTAGTTTCCAGGTCACCTTCAAAGGTAGCCCCATGTAGAGCGCATTGCAGTAGTCCAAGCAGGAGATAACCAAAGCATGCACCACTCTGGTGAGAGACAGTCTGCGGTCAGGTAGGGTCTCAGGCTACGTACCGGGTGGAGCTGGTAGACAGCTGCCCTGGACACAGAATTGACCTGCACCTCCATGGACAACAAAAACAGTACTTCTGTCTTGTCAGGATTCAACCTCAATCTGTTAGCCGCCATCCATCCTCCAGCCACTTCCAGACACAAGACCTTCACTGCCTTCACTGGTACCGATTTAAAGGAGAGGTAGAGCTGGGTATCATCCGCATACTGGTGAACACCCAGCCCAACACTAATGACCGGCATTGGATTGTATAATCCAAACAGATGTTAAAAAAGAGAGAGCTGCTTTTTTCTCTAGGCCCCTTCCTTACCTTCTGCGCTTGTCTCCTTAGTTCATGCTTTTAGGGAGAGCCTGACTGAGCTAAAATTTGGGGAGGTTGGCGATAAGCTTGTGGATTTCATTAATGAGTCATCTGCCTCCAGCCCACCTCAGTTCAAGCACTACCTCAGGGAACAGACGCAGCAGCTAGGCTGCTTTCCCATAGCAGTTCTTCCCTGTTCTCACATCAGGAAACAGAATGTAATTGGGTTAAGAGTTCTAATTAAACACACAAAACTTCCTCATCAGAAGGATGGTGCTTTTCCAGATCATGGATGTAAGGTGTTCTGTTATGACACATGCAAGCTGGCTCAGTCCAGAGTTTCAAGTACAGAAAACAACTCCTCCCTTTGTGTTGCAAAGATGACAGCTAGTCAAATAAGTCCAGGAAGCCCCTATAAGCAGGGCATGGAAGCATCAGCCTATTTGTCCTCAGCATCTGGTATTCTAAGGCAGTGTTTCCCAACCGGTGTTCCGCGGCACACCAGTGTGCCGTGAGACCTTGCCTGGTGTGCCGTGGGAGGGAGGCGGGAGAGGCGGGGCGGCGGCGGCATCTCCTGCTGGATGCAAATCCTCGCTCCTTTGTAGGCGGACCATCGAGAGAGAAAGAAAAGGAGGCGAAAGAGCGAGAGAAGGCGCCTGCGCGGAAAGAGGAGCGAGCAGTGCGCCTGCGCGCCGCGGCGCCCGAGATCGCTTCTCCCCACCGCCCCTTGCTTCAAAAGAGGTCCGGGGACAGCGGGAAGCGCTTCGCGCTGCCCCCGGACCTCTTTTGAAGCAAGGGTTTGCGGGGAGAAGCGATCTCCCCGCAGCCCCTTGCTTCAAAAGAGGTCCGGGGGCAGCGGGAAGCGCAGCGCTTCTTCTCCGCTGCCCCCGGACCTCTTTTGAAGCAAGGGGCTGCGGGGAGATCACTTCTCCCGGTGCTCCGAAGCGGGGCGGTGGGGCGGGAACACCTGCCCCAGCCGCCCCGCTTCGGAGCGCTGCTCCGAAGCGGGGCGGTGGGGCGGGAACCTCGCACCCCGCCGCCGGGCATCGGAACGAGGTCCTGGACCTCTTCTGAAGGCAGGCGGGGGCAAAAGTCTTTGCTCCCCCGCCTGCCTTCCCGGGACAGCGGAGACTTCTCCGCTGCCCCGGGCGATCTTAAAATGCTGGCGGGTGGGAGCGAAGCGTTCGCTGCCGACCCCCAGCATTTTAAAATCTCCTCGGAGCAGCGGAGACTTCGCTCCCGCCCGCCAGCATTTTAAAATCGCCCCGGGACAGCAGGGGCTTTTAAAATGCTGGCGGTCGGCAGCAAAGCCCTCCTGTCCCCGGAGCTTGCGGGGCGGGAGGTGGGAAGAAGGGCTTTTCTTCCCACCGCCAGCCTTCAGAACAGCCTTCTGAAGGCTGGCAGTGGGAAGAAAAGCCCTTGTCCCCCCCCCCCAGCCTTCAGAAGAGGTCGGGGGACAGACTGTCCCCGGACCTGGTCTGAAGGCGGTTTCCCTAGGAACGCATTAATTGATTTTCAATGCATTCCTATGGGAAACCGTGCATCGCAAGACGAAAAACTCGCAAGACGAAGAGACTTGCGGAACGAATTAATTTCGTCTTGCGAGGCACCACTGTACTTTTTATATAGTCAATATAGGCACAGAGTTAAATTTTTTAACATTTTCTAATGGTGGTGTGCCTCGAGATTTTTTTCATGAAACAAGTGTGCCTTTGCCCAAAAAAGGTTGGGAAACACTGTTCTAAGGTATACTGCCTTACAAGATGGAGGTTCTATTTTGCTATTGTAGTTAGTAACTGCTGGTAAGCCGAATTCATGAGAAAGTAGGTCTAAATCCTCTTTGAAAGGCACCTGACCCATAAATTTGACCCACATAAGAGAGATTTCCATTTGTCTCTCCTGAATCTACAGCTGATTCATTTTCTTGGGTGACCCCTGAGTTCTAGTGTTTGCTGACATCTTACTGCTTAAATTAAATAAAAAAACTGTCAGCACATTGTCACTGCCAGCTGCAAAAATTTCTAAGCCATTGTTGAAGGAAATATTACCTAGCTGTACATTTGACTTCCTCTTGAGCATGAGTAAAAGCTTTGATAAGCAAAAACAGCTTTTCAAAAAACAGCTTGCATGAAAGCTAGCAAGCTCATTAGACAGTAAGGTGTCACATTCATTAAAGGTGTTACATAGATAGCAATTGCTAATTAAAATGAAACCTGCATGTAGATCAGGTCTGATTAGAGTTGTCAAAGATAACTGGTTAGAAATCCACTTGGGGTGGGAACTACCTCTGGAAACAAGGGAGAAACTTCTGGCTCTCTCTCTCTGTTGTTCCCATCCATTGGTCTAGAAAATTACCTCAGATAATGTACTTAGGCCACAGGGAGGCACATTTGCCTTCTGGAAGCCCTGACGTCAAATCTATCTGGTGCTTTTGTAGGGTTCAAGTCATAAGTGAGTTCTTTCCACTCTAACACAGAGATGAGGTCAACTGAGGATGTGGCTCAAAACTTAACTTTTGGACAAATGACACAGGGCTTTTTTGTCCAGCAGGAGGCACCATTGTCATTCTAAGAGAACAAGGGGGAAGTTCATGGTGAGCTCTGACACCTCTTTTTCTAGAAAAACAGTACTGCAATGTAATTTGGAGGCCTGCTCCTTTTGGGGTTCCCTAGCCTTTTTCGTGGGTTACTACTTAGTAGACCCACTGAAATGGATGGAATTAAGTCTACTGTTTTCAGTGGCTCGCTTTGAGCATGATTATCATCGCCCATCGTTAGGAAGAGAACGCCTTTTAGAATTGCAGCAGCTATTGTTATTTCCACTAGGGGTCAGTCATTCACCGCTGATCAGTTTTGATTTTCGCCTTGCTTTGAAGAAAACCAGCCTTTAGGTAAGAGGTGCAGCAAATCAAATTATTTTACCGCTTATTATTGGAGCAGTGTCACTTCTCTGACTCTGGTCTTGGTTGGGCAAGGGCATTCCAAGCGAGGAAGCAGTTGTAATGCTGAGCTATTAAGTTCATGTCATATCAACCCACAGTTAATGTGTGAAAGTTGTGGGTCTCAAATGGTGGTTCTAAACCCCTCGAGGGTATGGAGTGAAATAACATTTGGCAACCAGCAGAACAGGTATTTCAGGTTGCCTTTTCTTCTCTCCAACAAATATACATAAATATGCCTTTTTTTTTAAAGGAAAGACATACCGAAATTCTGCAGAACGTTTCTTCTGAGCAAAAGATCTGATTGGGGTTTCTTTTTTTGTACGTGTATTCCTTGCTCTGCTGTAGTTGTGTGTAACAGCTAATGGTTCCAGATAGAGATACAGATGTCTATCCGTGTAAAGGAACTAATCCTGGCAATGGGTTCACATTTGCCACTGTTGAAGTTAAGAGGCGTTGACCACATCTGGAACTCGGGAGCGAAATCATGGGCGTAGCATTGAATCACGTGGCTTCCATCATATATAAAAACATAGGTAAAGGTAAAGGGACCCCTGACCATTAGGTCCAGTCGTGACCGACTCTGGGGTTGCGGCGCTCATCTCGCTTTATTGGCTGAGGGAGCTGGCGTACAGCTTCTGGGTCATGTGGCCAGCATGACTAAGCCGCTTCTGCGAACCAGAGCAGCGCACGAAAACGCCGTTTACCTTCCCGTCGGAGCGGTACCTATTTATCTACTTGCACTTTGACGTGCTTTCAAACTGCTAGGTTGGCAGGAGCAGGGGCCAAGCGACAGGAGCTCACCCCGTCGCGGGGATTCGAACCGCCGACCTTCTGATCGGCAAGTCCTAGGCTCTGTGGTTTAACCCACAGCGCCACCCACGTCCCTCATATAAAAACATAGTAAAACATTAAACATTAAAAAACTTCCCTATATAGGGCTGCCTTCTGTTGTCTTCTAAAGGTTGTCTAGTTACTTATCTCCTTTGCTTGAGGGTCCCATAGCTCCATACACTCTGATGAAAATCACCCTAAGCAAAAGTAGGACATTCCGGGATCAAATCAGACACACAGACGGCTTCTGTAAATCCAGGACTGTCCCTGGAAAATAGGGACACTTGGAGGGTCTGCAATTCTGGATGCACGTAACTGGCAGTGATGTCCATAGATTTTGCATCCCAATAATGCATAGGATTATTCTGTTAGACTTTGTTGGACTTCACACTAGCGGGCCATCTGCACGATATATCCTGTGGTTTGTGGCTGAATACAGTACTGATGAATTTTTTTCCTGCAGCAGAAAAAAAGACGATAAAAGTTCCTTGGGGCTGCTTTTGATGAGAATGGGTTTTCCTGGTTTGTTTGCAGGTCTTCATTGCCGTAAACTGCCTCAGCACAGACTTCTCATCTCAGAAAGGTGTCAAAGGGCTTCCTCTGAATCTTCAGATTGACACCTACAGCTACAACAACAGGAGCAACAAGCCAGTCCACAGAGCTTACTGCCAGATTAAAGTCTTCTGTGACAAGGTAAAGCTGATGGAGTCTGTAAAATGATAGCTTTATTTAGGAATGTTTTGCCTCTTTAGTTTAGTCCGTCAGTCTCATTTCTTACAAGGCAAGCAGAAAAATAAACAATTCAAATTGTTTATTTTTTTCTGCTTGTCTTGTAAGAAATGAGATTGACTGGCTAAACTAAACTACAATTCAAAACAACAACAGCAACACTCTTCAGCACTTGGAAATTAAGATGACCTGTTACTTTTTGAGACTCATTCAGTGTTGTGCTATTTGCATATTTGGTGAGGGTGCAATCACTTGGAAAGGATGTCAAGTGAAAAGTCTCAAGTGTGTACACACACACACACACACACACACACACATTGATGCTATGAACCTTCCATTTCAAACTGAAAAATACGAGCACATGCTAGATTTTCTTATTTATAAGTCTGAGGTGTTTAATGAAATTGCTAACCAACCAAAATGAAGAACTCTGCCAGCTATCTCACAAATTCCACCAACCAAAGCTAATTATTGTTGTATTGTCATCACTGATCATTTGCTTGCTTTTTTAAAAACGCACACACACACACTAGCATCACATATCTCATGAACATTGATGTCAGCTACCTGATGACTATCAGTTTCTCAGGAAATGAATTCTCAGCCCTGTTAAACTTTTTGAAATAAATGGAATCCAAAACACACCTAATTCTTGACCATGAGAGATAAAATTGTAGACATTATTGGCTTTTAATAAATAACCAACAATAAAAGCAACAGTTATTTTAGGAACATTTCCCCTACTTTTAAATATAAATATTTTATTGAATGAACTTCAGTTATAAAGAAAAAAAGTGATACAGAGGAAAAAAGTGGGGGGACATGAGGAAAAAAACAAAGATGTGTATAAGAAAATAAAATACCAAAAAAATAATAATTTTAGGAACAAAGCAGCATGGTTCATCTAGTTTGCTAACTCTGGCCTACTTGATTTCCCTCTTTTGGCATTTCTACATCATCTGGGTTAAGCGGTCATTCTGTCCTGCAGATTCTGTCCCCATTAACAAAAAGATGTAGTGCTAAATCTAAGTAGCAAACATTGAAGAACAAGGTTGATCTGCTTTTTTAAATCTACTTAAAAAATAATAATCAAGGCTGCTCGCTGTTGAGGAAAAAACAACGAAGCTGGGTCCAAATGGGCCTGTTTTCAACCACAGTTCAATCTTCATCTTTATTGATTAGCTTACAAGATGCAAGTTTACAAGACAGAAACTTCCATGTTCTCAGTTTGGGGTTTCTGTGGCTTTACTGCTGCACCTTTCTTTTACCACCTGTAGCCAGTAGTTTAACCTAAAACTTTGCCCCACTAGTTGTCTCAGCAGCTAGGCACTTGGAAGGAATTGTAATAATTGCTTGGTCTCTCTCTCTCTCTCTCTCTCTCTCTCTCTCTCTCTCTGTGTGTGTGTGTGTGTGTGTGTGTGTGTACAGTCAACTCATCTGGAGAAGGAAAGGCAAGCTTTCTCAAAATTACACAAGATCAGTTTACATGCATTTGTTTTGCTCTATGTATTTGTTGGGGGAAGCTACACCCTATGCAGAGTAAGGCTGGGCAATATCTGGTTTATCACCAGCTAAACATTGTGATATACCAATATATCACAATGTCTGAAATAAGGATGGAGCTCTGTAGAGGCATTGGCTGGCTGGCTTCATGGTTTCCCCCTCATTGTGATTTTTGCATAGCACACACACACTGACACACACACACACACACACACACACACACACACACACCATGATTTGCGATATATTGCCAGGTCAGAAATTATGAAACCAATATCTTGATGTGGACTTCAAACCGGTTTTGGACGATATATCAATATATCACCCAGCCCTAGTGCAGAGAAGAGTATATCCACTATATGGTAGTGCAGAACTTTCCAAACTGTGTGTCGGCTGCAGTGTGTAGGTGTGTGTTGTGTGAACACTCCCCTCACTCCTCCCGGGTCTGGAAAGGGGTTAGTTTAACCTCCGGTTTGCTAGGAAAACTGAATTACTGTGTTGCAAAATCATGCATGTCTAAAAAGTGTGTCACCATCATGAAAGGTTTGGAAAGCTCTGCAGTAGTGGAGCACAGCCTCGATAAAATTTATTATAAAGGATGACAAATGTAGAATTAGCAATCACAACAAGTCTAACAAAACAAGACCTTAACAAAATTGGCACCTGCTCAGTAATAACAGTATTAGTTCTCTCAAGAAGGTCTCTAAAGATTGACCTGGAAACAGTCTCAGGAGAGGATAGATTATATGCTTTCTAACCCCCTGGTTAGAACTGCAGTAAAACAACACATGGTTGACCGTAACCACCTTGGTATTGTTATGGGATCATTTGTCTTTAAAAGGAACTCAAGCAAATGTAACATCCAAAAGCTTTGAAAGTAACATTTTTAAACAATAATATAAGTCTGCTTTGCTTTAGGTATTGATCAATAAAAATTGTAATAGGGCACATAGCAAATTAAAAGTGATATTTCACAGCAAACCTGAACACACCCTTTCCTTGTTTTCTAAATGAGACAAATCAATTTATTCTGTTTGTAGCATCCTTTCACCCATGTAGGTTTGCCTGTGTATAAAACTAACTACTTCAAGCTGTTGTTTTGATCCTCATTGCTTACGGCAAGGGACATAAACAATGCTTACAACTATAGTAGTACCTCGGGTTAAGAACTTAATTTGTTCCGGAGGTCCGTTCTTAACCTGAAACTGTTCTTAACCTGAAGCACCACTTTAGCTAATCGGGCCTCTTGCTGCCACCGCGCTGCTGCTGCATAATTTCTGTTCTCATCCTGAAGCAAAGTTCTTAACCCAAGGTACTATTTCTGGGTTAGCGGAGTCTGTAACCTGAAACGTCTGTAACCTGAAGCATCTGTAACCCGAGGTACCACTGTATTTTCTGGCTTGAATTTGCCCCCCTCCCCTCCCCCTGCACACGCAAGGCAGGTTCAATAATTGATCATTCATACTTGGTTGCAATCTACATTTCTAATATATTGTCCATGATACTTCAAGCCTTGCTTTGACATAAGAAAAATTCTCTTTATTGATTATAAAACAGAAACACCAGTTATACTGGCTGAGAGATGGGGCAACAATTTTCTTGCCTACCACCCTTTAAAACAGTCGTGAAGATTACATGTAATAACTAACACCATAACACTCCATCTTCAAAGAGTTAGACTTACTATGTCTTTGATGATTTGAACTGTGTATGGGTTTGGTTTCAAGTTCAATGACTTTTGGAAGAGGAAGAAGTTCCAAACATGACTGACTTCCACAATGCCTGATTTGGGTGGGACCAGGGATGCTGACCTCAATGGGGAGGAAGCCAAGCCTCTGTAAATAACCTTTCTTCTTTCTATCTGACAGGGGGCAGAGAGGAAGATCAGAGATGAAGAACGAAAACAAAGCAAAAGAAAAGGCAAGTGTACTGACCCCAGCTCCCAGCTGAATGCCTGTAAGTAGAAAATATTAAAGTGCCATTTAATTTAGTGGAAAATTTCAACTAAATCTGATTTGAAATGCAAGCAATGGTATAAAGGAAATATTAAAGTGCCATTTCATTTAGTGGAAAATTTCAACTAAATCTAAATTTGAAATGCAAGCAATAGTATAAAGCACAGGGTTGGTTTGTTTTTCTTAAAGGGGAGGTGTGCTGATGTGGGGCAGACAATAATCGTGTTGGTGGAATTGAACCTTTATTTAGGCCTTGCTAAGATAGGCGTGTTCAGCTTGAGGAGAGGCAGTTGAGCAAGAAAATGCAACTTTCATGTAATTACACCAAGGCATGAATGTAGGGTCACCTCACAAACTATAACTGTTATTAACAGCATTTTCTGAGGCGAAAGAAGTTGTGGGAAATCAAATCACTCCACTCTGGATCACAGCCAATTTGTTTTTGTGATGTTTTTGGGCTCAGTCAGCCCTTTCCATGTTCAGCACTACCTAAGTGCTTTCATTTCCCCCCGCAGCTGTACTAGTAGCTAGTTCCAGGGCTCTCCTGAATGGATTTTTTTCCTTTTGGATCCCTTGGATTTGCACAAAACCGGAAAGTTGCACAAGCAGATATAAACTGTGTGCTTTTGCATACAACTTGGGCAGGGAATTATTTTAGAAAAACAAGGTGCGTGCACAGCTATCTGCACCACAGATCCTGCCGGTACTTAATTGACGGAATCCACGGCGTAGAAGGCAGGGACGAATACAAAAGAGACCACCTCCTGGTATGAATGGGAAAGACCCGAGTTGCTCCTGATGTACAGATTCAAACACATGTGGATACAGACAAAGTGGATTTGCAGCTAACTATAACACTCAAATGTAAAGGTAACGGGACCCCTGACCATTAGGTCCAGTCATGACCGACTCTGGGGTTGCGGCGCTCATCTTGCTTTATTAGCCGAGGGAGCTGGCGTACAGCTTCTGGATCATGTGGCCAGCATGCCTAAGCCGCTTCTGGCGAACCAGAGCAGTGCACGGAAACACCGTTTACCTTCTTCCCGCCGGAGCGGTACCTATTTATCTACTTGCACTGTGACGTGCTTTCGAATTGCTAGGTTGGCAGGAGCTGGGACCAAGCAACGGGAGCTCACCCCATCGCGGGGATTCGAACCACTGACCTTCTGATCGACAAGCCCAAGGCTCAGTGGTTTAACCCACAGCGCCACCCGCGTCCCAACACATATAGCTCTGGTGGCAGTGACCCAGTAGTGCTTTATTCAGCTAAGCAGAATCAACATTCAAATGTGGACAAGCCCTAATAAATGGAGTCCAGGGCAGGGCTGCACAGATAAAGATGGGAGTTCCATGGGGCAAGTTAAAGATCAGACCAAAGCCCATGTTCTCGCCATGACCAATCAGATGTCTGTGGGGAGCCTGCAAGCAAGACAGGAGTGCAACAGGGTTCTCCCCACTTGTGGCCCTTTGTCTTTGAGCTCATAATCTAACAGGCCTGCCAATTTTTGTTCCACTTGGGAAGGAGTCGTAAAACAGGCTCTTCTTCAGAAAGCAGACACTAAGGGAGGTTGTATGTGAGAGAGAAATGTATTATTTCCTTCTTCTTTCCAACAGTTTCTGACGTCAAAGTGCCGCTGCTTCCGTCCCACAAGCGTACAGATATCACTATCTTCAAGCCGTTCATGGACCTTGATACTCAGCCAGTTCTCTTCATACCTGATGTTCACTATTCCAATCTTCAGCGGGGAGCTCATGTATGATTCCTCTTTTGCTTTATATCTGGGAGAGAGGGTGGTAGTAAAGAAGTAGGAAAAGTTATTTCTCAAAGCATAAAAAGTGTTTGTGGCAGGAGGAGACAAAGGGGGGCGGGTAACGAAAGAGGGTTGAATAGCAAATATATGGGGGTGAACAGGAGAGCAAGAGTAGCTGAGAATTCTTGAAAAGCCAGGGTGGTAGGCATCCAGGAAGCACTTTGAAAGAACTGGGTTTGGGGGGTTTGGAAGATAGAGAGAAGGTGAGGAAGGGAACAGTGGGCAGGAGCCTCTCCAAGCTTAGGAGAACAGTGAGATGGGAGATACAGTGGTACTTCGGGTTACATACGCTTCAGGTTACAGACTCTGCTAACCCAGAAATAGTGCTTCAGGTTAAGAACTTTGCTTCAGGATGAGAACAGAAATCGTGCTCTGGCAACGTGGCAGCAGCAGGAGGCCCCATTAGCTAAAGTGGTGCTTCACGTTAAGACCAGTTTCAGGTTAAGAACAGACCTCCGGAACGAATTAAGCACTTAACCAGAGGTACTACTGTATATAGGTTGGTGATGATCAAGGAAGAAAGCAAACCAGTAGCAGACAATGGCTAGTTCTGAATGGTTTCCAAAGCACTTTTCTACCAGTTGTCAAGGTTGCTGGGTACACGCAACACAGTTGTACTGATCGGTTATTAAGTTTTCTCCAGAACATGTAAAAATAACTAGACTTCCCCCCCCCTCCATACCCTTTCTAGGTCTTTCCTGTTGCATCTGAAGAACTGGAGGGCGAAGGGTAAGACTTGTTACCACTTCCATACTCCAGAGCTGCTAAATATTTTTGAATGAGGAACGCACTGTTTTGTTCTAGTTAACTCAGGGATGGGGAACTCAGGGCCCTCCAGGTGTTACTGAGTACAGCCCCATCACCCCTGGTCATTGGCCAATGTCTGCTGGGACGGATGGGAATTAAACAACATGTAAAGCAGGGGTGGGGAACCTTTTTGCCTCCAAGGGCCAAATCCTTATCAGGATCTGCCTCGTGGGCCAAATGTGACCAGTGAGTAGGTCCACCATTTGACAAGATCACTGGATTGGCAGGGTAGCGGGGACGCCCGCCAGTCAAAATTCCTTGCCCTAAGTCTCTCTACACTTCCGCTTTAAGCCTCTGACAGTGGGGACTTAAAGGGGGAGGGGGAAACCTTGCAAAAGCATTTAAGAGAGCCCCCCACATTCCCTTTCGAGTGCAGGAGACGTCTTAAATCCTTTGCAAAACTTGCACGGGAGCTGCTCCAAAGAGCACTTTTGCAGAGGACTTTTAATACCTGTTTTGCAGATGAGCAGGGATTAAAATTCCGCTTTCTTGTTTCCTGCTGGGAGCAGGACTGCACAGACATTGCATGATTAAACACTGGTCCTTTTGCCCATTGGCTGATGCCACCAGTGAAGCCAGGTGATAGGTCTGGTTTGGGGCAAGTGGTCTTGCAAGCTTTTGGATTGAGTGATCTGATGGCCTGGCTGGTTTTCTTGTAGCTCTGCCATGAAGAGGGGGCCTTATATCAATGAAGATGATTTTGCTGCCACCCCGGTTAAGCTGTCTCGAATAGAAGAACCCAAGAGAGGTAAATAATGCCACTAACCATGAGGAAAAGAAAGCGCTGTTTGGGTTGTACTTCATAATAGTCCAGTATGGATTCTAAAAGGCACGCTTGTGTTAGTTAATTTTGCCTGTGGGCTAAATCCAAAAGTCCTCCACCCACACCTGGCCATTTTGACTTGGGGGGGGGGGATCAAATACACAGTACAAAATATACCACATGAAGCAGCTCTAAACCCAGAGAAGCATTCACTCAAATGAAAATTTCCCCCCCTCCGTTGTCATCTTCCACAACATGAATGAATGGCTTGCTTTTTACATTATAGCAAGTAACAAAATAGGTCACTGGCTTGCATGGAGAACTTAAGGAAGCTGTGCATATTACAGTTCTAATCCACTTCAGCCTTCCATTTTAGCTCTTCAATTCATGGAAGTTATTCAGTCTGGCAGTTCTGCCCTAAATTCACCCCTATCGACCTGTATCTTAGTATAACATAAACTGAAACTGTAGGTGTGGTACTGTTATCGCCTATAGCAAATAGAACTTTGATAGCGTTCATTCACAGGGGTGAGCCAATATACTGTGCTCAGTTTCCTTGCTTTGTGTGATCTTGAGCCTTAGCCCAGCTTTCCTCGGTAGTGACACATCCCAAGCGCTTGAGGCTCCCTGTTGCAATGTGAAATGGTCTCCGATATCTTGATTTGAAGGCGCAAGGTCTTCATAGATGGGACAAAAATACCTAGCAAACAGAATTTCCTTATTGATTGATCAGTCTCTCATGCCACCAGAACATCACAAATCCAGCTTGCTGAATAACAGAGTTCCTCACCCAGTCTAGGTACACTTGACCCTGGCTCAAGTCATTGTGCTACTCCTAGAATGTAGAGTGAGGGAGGTTAACTGCTTGTATTCACATCTGTACCTATAAGCAAACTTTATCGTAATTGCTTGAAAGCTACTGCTTCGACGAAGGTCCCATATGCACTATATATTTAAAGCGGTATTATATCACTTTAAGGTTTACCCAAGAAATTCTGGGAACCACAGATATGTTAAGGGTTCTGAGAGTTGTTCGGAGACAGAGCTACAGTTTCCTGAGTGATTTGACAATCCCTCTTTCCAAAGAACTCTTGACTGCGACCGATTTCTCGTTAATCACTTCATTTTGGGAGACCTGTTGTTAGTACACTGAGTTGATGGGCCCAGTTTAATTTTGTTCACGTGGTTTAGAATATATGTGGACATTCTATGACATCACAGTAGTCCAGTCAACGTTCAGCCAAATGTCACCATATTTTGATTTTTGAAATTCTAAGAGTAGAAGAACCACCTCATTCTCAAGGTGGGGGATGGGTTGCTCTCAAAGAAAGCATTTATTATGACAAGTCCCTGGAGTGTCCATTATGAGGAGTTAAGTGCAGAATTTTCTCCAGTCCTGTTTCCTCCTAGGCAGGCCCACACACTACCAAGCTTCTACCTGGTTTGCAGAGAGTGGATTTAAAGTACTGCTTCTGACTGCTCTGGCCTGAAATAGTTATGCCCCGCATTATAGCATCTCAACTTATTGTTTGACTAAGAAATGCCTAATGTTTGTTTTCAATCTGATTTTTTTCTAAATCCTCATTGACTTTGTCGTTGTTCCAGTGTTGCTGTATGTTCGAAAGGAATCGGAAGAAGTCTTTGATGCACTTATGCTCAAGAGTCCATCTCTGAAGGGTCTAATGGAAGCTGTAAGTTGCAAGCTTCTCTAGCACCAAATTTTAGTAAAAGCTGGAGAAACAAGATGCCCAGTTTTCTGTACTTCAGGGATATAACCTTGCTAATTGGTGTGGTTGTCCTATTGGTTTCAACAATAGAAATGCCTAGTGAATTGTTCTCCCTAAGCCTAAAACTGCAGCTGTGCTTGAATCACTGCACTAACTCTGGACCCCATTAAAGGTAAAGGTACCCCTGCCCGTACGGGCCAGTCTTGACAGACTCTAGGGTTGTGCGCCCATCTCACTCAAGAGGCCGGGGGCCAGCGCTGTCCGGAGACACTTTCCGGGTCACGTGGCCAGTGTGACATCGCTGCTCTGGCGAGCCAGAGCCGCACACGGAAACGCCGTTTACCTTCCCGCTAGTAAGCGGTCCCTATTTATCTACTTGCACCCGGGGGTGCTTTCGAACTGCTAGGTTGGCAGGCGCTGGGACCGAACAACGGGAGCGCACCCCGCCGTGGGGATTCGAACCGCCAACCTTTCGATTGGCAAGCCCTAGGCGCTGAGGCTTTTACCCACAGCGCCACCCGCGTCCCACTCCTGGACCCCATTGGACCTGTGCAAATATTTTCTTTGATGGAAGAGAGAGGGGGGAAACATTAAAACCAATTTCACTACCAGAATGACCCTTTGGATGAAATAGAAAGAACACAGCGTAACATTAACATTAGATTTTCCACTGGCACGTTTTATGAACTGAGAAGGCAAGAGCTTTGGTTACTTGTGTGTCCTCTTTGCATGCATCTCATGTACTTTGCTAACAGGAAGGGGAAGTTGAGAACAGAAAGGACAGCCACCAATCTCATAGTACAGAGGGGTAGAGCCAGGCAAAGGGCCAGTAAAGCTATTGCCCAGGAGGACTATGGGAGCTCCAGGAACCGGTCTAGCTCTCAGAAAACCCATAGATTTGCCCGGTTTGTGCCATCAAATCCTTACTTAAATATGCCAGGATATGCATGATCTTCAGGCCCTCGCACAAAACTTATTTGGTCCTTCCATGGTTTAAAGCTGGCTCTCATATCCTGGCTTGTTTTGAAGCCATTCATCATAGTTCCAGGTTTGCATGCAACATGAGACCATTGGTGAACTGTGACTTCCTGGTTTGTTTCCCCACTTGTCTAAATGGCTGCATGTGGGTGCATGACGCTGATGCATATCCTGACTTATTAAATCAGGATTAGATCATGCAGACAAGCCACTTAGTCCATCCCATTGTCCTCTGGAGAACAGCATGTGCCTTAGTTTTCTGTTGACACAGAAAATGATCCTTGTTTTGTGGCTGACCTCTTTAACTGCAAGTTCCTACAATCTGACTTTTATTTCCTATGCCAAAATTAGCATGTAATCTCTTGTAATGAGGCAGACAGTAGTGTTGATCTCATGTGAATGACCTTACTTGCTCAGGTCTTGCCAGTGTGCCAGGTTCTTTAAAAAAATGCTTTGTCTGTCTCCCTCTCTTTCTCTCCCAACACACATGCTGCATAATGGATGAAGATATTCTTTGTGTATGCTTCTTCACACTCATAGGTATATAAAAAAATCTACTTCATTGCAAAGCTTAACCAAGAAACTATCAAGCCTAAAATATATTTTGAGAATGTGGGATGAAAACAGCCACATCTGAAGTCTTATTAGGGACATTTTCACAGGGCAATCCTATTTTTGTTGCAGGTAGAGGTGCTGAGCAGAAAACCACTCAAATCTGTGCTTTCCATGTGTGGAACATGCAGAATAACTATTATTATTATTATTATTATTATTATTATTATTATTATTATTGTATGCCACCCATCTGACTAGGCTGCCCCAGCCACTCTGGGCATCTCCCAACAAAATATAAAAAATACAATAGTTTTGTCGGCGAGTCCTCAGTTCTAAGAATTTGGCTTCTACACCAAATTTGTTACCAACACGGAACCAAGAAAATTACAGGAAGCGTCAGCAGATCCAGTTAGGGACTCTGTTTATTTACTTTTGCAATCGGACAGTCTTGCCAACCAGAACCAGTTAGAAAAGACTGCCCAGACACAAATCAGAATGAAGCTTATACACAGTAGTTCAAACACAGCAAACAAAGAGTCATAAATCACCAACCATTCTTCTACATACATCAAGAAAGTTTACAGGTAAAAGGATATAAAGATACATGACTCCACACTAGTTTCAACTTCCTCTGGGTCTTTCAAAACCTGTGGTCTCAGCTTTTAACAGATCGGGCAGTTGTCTAGGCAACCAGACCTTCAGTAAGGGTTGCTGACATTCCTTTCCCATATCTCTCCCTGGAACTTCTCAAGGAGATGCCAGTGCCAACTCACAGCAGACGCAGAAAAACATCCTGCCATCTGTGCCACTTTCAGGGTCAGATAGGAGTGGTGGAACACAACATAGGAGGGGGAGGCATGAGTCACAAAATGCAGGCACACAGGAATGCATTCTAGCCCAAGGTTGAATGCAATTAATATTGAAACATTTCGCAAAATCAACACCCTGGGTCTCTAATTTTTATATCGGTTCCACTGCAGCTCATTTCACTCCCAGTCAATTTCCCAAAAGGAATCCAGTTCCAAAACAATTGCTAGGGTGTTGCTAGGTGGCTTCAAAGCTTCAAAGCACCAGATTCCATGACATAAATTTGCACAAAACCTGCAGATGCTAATTTGCAAATGTAGGTCTCCGAGTAAAATTACATTGGTGGGAGGCTGTGTGTGTGTGTTTCTCATTGACACTGCATTTTGTGGGATGCAGTGTGTCCGACAAGGAATTCTGAGGCCCGTCTCACACACACAAATGGGTCTTGGTCTCCCTGGGCCCACCCCGTAACATCTCTGCTATCCAGTAATCCTGATCACCCCCATTACTATATCCCCTGAATTCAGGTTTGCAACTACGTTTTCCTCAGAGTAGATCCATTGACATGTATGAGCTAGATTATATTTAACTGGAATACCTCAACAATTGCCAACATGGTGTCTTCTGGATGTCTGCTGGATTGCAACTCACATCTGCCTAGTCAATGGTCAGGGATGATGGGATTTGTAGTCCAAGACAGACTTCATGCTTAGAAGAATCTGCTTTGTTTCCTAATCTAAACACCTTGGCCTGGAACCAGATGCAAAACAGTGGCTCACCAGAGGAGACGCACACTTAGAATGAAAGAACACAGCATCCCTGAATTAATGCTCAGCCTGGGAATTTGTTTTTAACTAGAACTGACCTCACAGCTCATACAGAAAACCCTAAACCTGGTTTTCCTTTATTTTTCCTTTTTTAAAAGAAGAAGAAGAAGATGGGAATCAGAAACTCTTGCAGACCCACCCAGAGGCATACCCTCTGCCCATCCCGTAACTTAGGCTGTTTGCCTTTGCTTGTCTGCCTTATGTATTCATCCAGCTAGGATTATGGAGTTGAACCAAGCCTTTGGGAAGGCTCAGAAGCTTTTGCCCTTGGGTTTCAGATTCCAGCCCCTGATCTGAGATTCCTTCACAGCAGCTTGAAATGTCTTGCATGCAAGAGGTGCTCCAAACCTTGTGCCTTGTGTAAACTTGGCTGAGAAAGTGGGGGGTGGGGTGGGGAGTGATCGACATAACTCGATGGCTGCAACATAAGCTTCCCTCAATTGGAAACCAAAACACAAGTATGGAGAAACTATGCTGCTACAAAATGCCCTGCCATCTAATGAACATTGGCATTTGGTGCTGAGATTAGAACAAACCCCAAAATATCCTCTAACCAGGGCTGTTGATAGCTACTAGCCACAATGGCTATGCTCTGCCTACAGAGTTTGGTGGCAGCAATGCTTCTGGAAACCACAGGAGAGAAGAGTGGTCTTGTGCTTGAGTCTTGCTTGCTGGTTTCCCACAAGCACAGAATGCTGGACTAGGTGGGCCATTCAGACTCTTTTGTGAACTGCTGTGTAGTGCCTTTCATGGCCTTGGGCCGCCATCTTGTATATTGGGGGGGGGGGAATCCTTTCTCCATTTCCCAGGGTCTTCAGGTAGGTTCTCCTGTCACCATTGACCACTCAGCTGGGTGAGACTGTAGATCTTCCGCAAGCTGCTCAGTCTGCTTTGTGACTCTGACTTTCTGAGGGGGTCTGTGGACAGGATGGCTAGAGCATACTACTCTCGTTTTATGGCATTCCCAGTGTCTTTCTTTCTTGGTTGGTTTTTGGTTTGCTTAGAACACAGCATGTAATTAAAATACGGAGCTCACTGTATTGATGGTCACCAACTTGGAAATAGGTTTAGGCAAAGAGTCCACTTCTGGCTTCCTATAGGCATCTAGCTGGCCTCTGTGAGAACAGGCTGTTGGTCTGGATGGAAGGTGTACATATGTTTTTACAACTATTTCAGATGTTTGTGGAGAGCCAGGTGGAGTCTCTGACATATACTGTTCTCTCACGAGCCTGCAGACCCTCAGTTCTCACAGTAGGAATCTCTTGCTTAAAAACCACTATGAACTCTTGTGCTCTTTTGTAAAGCTTACCATCTTGAATAGAAGGTTTGGATACTATGAAAGCAAAAGGTGTTCATTATTGCCAATAGTTTAAATATTTGACCAATTTTTGGTTTCCGTAGGGCAGGAATGCTCAACCTGTGGATCTCCAGATTATTGTTGGACTGCACATCCCATAATCTCTGACCACTGAATGTATAGCAAGCGAGCCAACCATAGTTGACCAAGCTATTATAAGTTCATTCTATGGCAGAGGATGCTCTGCCATAGAATGAACTTATAAATCTGACAGGATAGACTGTGAGAGAAGACAAGCTTCTCTGCATCTTGGTTTCACTGCTGTGTGTTTGGAAGTTTAAACCATGGTTTCAGTCCTGAACTACGGTTAGCACATAGCGTGAATATTAGCGCAAACTCCAAATGCAATTTGTGAGGACTCTTTCACGTCTTATTACTTCATTTTTGCGATTGTTTTCCTTTTTGCTTTGTTTAGATATCTGACAAATACGATGTCCCTTTGGATAAAATTGGGAAAGTCTTCAAGAAATGTAAAAAAGGGTGAGTATGTTGAAAATAGTATCCCTGCAGCTTTGCAGGCAAGATATGGCGTCTTACATGTTGTTTTTCACACTCTCTGTACACAGATCTGCCTTCTCCCCACACTGAACCTGTTTTGAACAGGAGCAATACTGTTTCCCCAAGATATTGAGCTCTGAGAGTACAGCTGCCACACAGAATTAGAATGCAAAAGTGAGCTAATCCAAGTGAACTCACCCTCACTGCATGATTCCTCAGCTGCTGGAGAGAGAGAGAACAACCCTGGGTTGTGTGCTAAGTCTTTACTCTTCACTAATAAATAGTTTTGCTAAGGGAAAATAAATCACCACTTAGTTCTCAAGGCAGCAACAACATATCCCTTTCTTGTACTCATTGCATGTTGTCAGAATACCCAGAAATAATCTCTCAGCAAGATGAAGTGGTATCTCTAGGACAATGGTTCCCAATTAGCTTAGTACTGTGAACCCCCTGGTTTTTCAAAAGCCAAGCCTACTTTTTGACAAATTTTGATGTCTCTGTGGTAGTTTTTGTTATGTGAATTGTGCCATGGACACCCTGGGTGGGTTATGCGGATCCCCGGGGTCTGAGGACCACCCATTGGGAACCGCTGCTCTAGGTCATTGTCAATAGAGAATCTGAGGCCCACAGCGCTGCTGTGAAAGGGAACAGCTTTTCTATATTGCACATGTTTGCAGTCCACCTCACTTGATAAATTTCAGCAGTGTCTTGCATGGTGTCAAAATTTGCCACACACACACACATATATAGAGCCTGTTGCATTCTGCTCAATTCACTATGTTGTGGTTGTGACACTCTATAGCGCTCCCTAGGCTCAGCACCCAGTGCGATGGAACCAGCCACGCTGCCATAAACCCGCCTCTGTTCTTATCACATGGTTGGTCCTTAAACTGTTTCTTTTGATAAACAAGTAAGCATAGATGTAACTGCAAATTTGAAATTATAGGTAGCTTTCCTCCTCATTGGGTAGCAAGGACCTAAGGGAATCGTGGCAATAAGCACTTTGAGTATGTTAGTGTTTGCCAGATTTTGTCTGGCAGGCTGAACCTCTAACTCAAGGTTTCCCAAACTTGGTTCTCTAGCAGTGTGTGTGTGTGTGTGTGTGTGTGTGTGTGTGTGTGTGTGTTTTGGACTACAACTCCCACCATCCCTGACCACTGGTTCTGCTAGCTAGGGATGATGGGAGTTGTAGTCCAAAAACAGCTGGAGAGCCAAGTTTGGGAAACGCTGCTCTAACTGGTCTCAATCCGTTTTGTGGTTTGCTAGAAAGCAGCCCCTATTTGGAAAAAAAAAATCCATAAATTTCCCCAATACTCCCTCCATCAGTTGGCAAGAGAACAAGGAGAACCTTGAGACCTAATGTAACTTTCCCCGTGAGACCTGGGTCCTGTTTTGCTCATCACAGAAGTGTATTTTGTTAGGTCGACCTAGAAGATTATGATGATGATGCCCATAGGGTTGGCCTAGCTTTGTGCTGCCCCACTGGGTGTGTTTCCGCTAGGCTTTAAAGCGTCTTATTTTTAATACTCTCTTATTTCCTTAGCATCTTGGTGAATATGGACGATAACATTGTGAAGCACTATTCCAACGAGGATACTTTCCAGTTACAGATTGAAGAGGCGGCTGGATCTTACAAGCTCACTCTCACCGAGATCTAAAACCAAGCTCGTTGGGGCCTCTTGCGGGGCTTTTAAATGAAGGTGGTGAATGCAAAACCTCTCATGACTTTTGTCCTCAGGATTTAAATGTGTCTCTAGGGAAGAAGCCATTTGTTCTTCCAGGGAAGAGTATATTTTGGCTGTTGTTTAACAGTGCTTCCAACATTTCTGTCCTCTTGGGAGCAACGCTGCACTTGGAATAGATAGACAAAAGACAATGAATTGGAATTCCAAGAAACACACCCCAGAATATTTTTACTAAAGCACTATGCAGTTACCTGCATATCCCCTTTGCTTATTAAATGTGTATGTGTTTCTTCATCAGCTTAGAGTCTCTTACTAGGCTCCCCCCCCCCAAAAAAAACCTCCAATTGATGCTTACAGGAGTTCCAGACAGGCTGGACTCGTATGATGTTTACGACCGAATATGGCATATGGCTATCATTTACTTCTTCAACATCTTAGGGATGTGAAACTGCCTTGTTTTATGAAGAACTTCCTTTAAATTACTGTATGGATCCCCTTGGTGAGCTGTATTTGTATATAAATGCAGTGTATTTTGAAGGGTTGTAAATATGTACATATAAGTCATATAATATATATACATATATATATATGTAAGACAAGATACATAAGATATCCGTGTGTGTGTGTGTGTGTGTGTATGTGTGTGTGTGTATAATATAGATTGAATAAATGTGGTGAAGCCCATTGGGAAGGACTGTATTTATATAAATAATACACTGAGAAAAGCAGCCTCGGTTCTAAATTAAATTTATGCTGCATGTGTTCAGTCTCCTGTAAGGGGGAATTGCGGGGGGGGGAGTGAGTTTTAGCATAGCATACTTAATATTTATCATCAAGTGATAAGGTGGGACTGTCTCCATGTAAATTAATAAAGTTCAAGGTTAGAAGTAATGTATCAGTCCGGTAGAAAGCAGTAGTAAGGATGAGTCTATATTTTCTCCAAAGGTGCAAATGTGAAGAGATATAGGTCATGTGTACCCTCCTTGAAGATAAGATTTGATGTCTTGAACCTCAGGACCATAAAAACCAGTTTACCTCGCACCATTTTTTCCCTCTGAACTTCACTATGACCCACCTTGTGTTTGGCACAGTGTTTATTTGGGGAACTCAGGTCAGACCTACATTGACCTGCTAAGCATTTTTTAAAAAAAACACACACATTGTATAACACTGAATAGCAATTTTCCACAGTCGGTTGCTCACTGCTCTGCAGTGCCATCTGATGTTGCATTTTAATAACACATTTTTAACGTTGTAAACAACAAGTGTAGATCCATCCTCTAGTCTGCATAAGGGTGGCATATCTAGGCCTACTAGATAAAAACAAACCTCATGGCTGCTTCACACCTCCTTTCACATGAGTGAATGAACAAGTTAGGATGTATTTGGTCAACTACAGTTTCCCATTACAGTGGTAGCTCGCAACACGAATGCCTCGCAAGACAAAAAACTTGCTAGACAAAAGGGTTTTTTGAGCTGCTTTGCAAGACGATTTTCCCTATGGGCTTGCTTCGCAAGATGGAAACGTCTTGCAAGTTTGTTTCCTTTTTCTTAACACCGTTAATACAGTTGCGACTTGACTTTGAGGAGCAACTCATAGAACGTGGTGTGGTAGCCTTTTTTGAGGTTTTTAAAGACTTTGGTGATTTTTGAAGCTTTTCCAAAACTTTCCAGACACCGTGCTTCGCAAGACGAAAAAAATCGCAAGACGACAAAACTCGCGGAACGAATTAATTTCGTCTTGCGAGGCACCACTGTACATCTGAATAAGGAAAGTGTGGTTAGCGGCTTCGGAACAAGCCATAATATGAAGCCATTGTTTAAAGTTTTGTGATGGCTTGTGCCAAGGAAGGAACAAAGTGGTTATGTGCAAGACCCATGAGGCTCATTCATACCATGACTTAAAAGAAAGAAGATAGTCTAAATGCATGCATTCGTTGCCTTTTATCACGCAGTTTCATCATTTCAGGGATGCACCATTATGCATATGGGGCCTCATGTTAGCTTCACAGTTAGTTAATGGATATATGGTGCTGTTTGTGATTTACAGTGACCATGATCGTGGATGGAAAGTGTTTTACTCATCTTGTTTTTGATGCCAAATGTTATTAAGCCATGTTTTCAAGAGGTCTTATTTACTAGTAGAACTGCAGATATTGTTGAACTTGGATGTAAAGAATCCCAAGTGCCTGACTGAATAGAGTAGTAGTAGTAGTACTGTAGTAGTAGTAGTAGTAGTAGTAGTAGTAGTAGTAATTTTATTATTTGTACCCCGCCCATTGTACTGGGTTACACCAGCCTCTCTGGGCGGCTTTGATGTACTGGTAATCTTTGATATACTTCAGATATTTAAAAGAAGCAGCAAAGATGAGGCCCAAACAGGAAACTTTATGGGGGCCTAATTTGCCAGGTGTATCTTTCACCTTCCCACATGATTACATGTCTTAGTTTTGACGCCCACGCCACAGAGGGCCTACGTAGATCTACCAAGCATGAAATATCAAAATAGATGCTGCCCTTTAATGGGGTTTTTCAGCAGCAATAGTTAAAGCGCTCTGAAAATTATTGCTCTGTGAGAGGGAATAGGGGGTCACTTAACCACTCTCAGCATCCTTAGGAAACTACAGCTCCCATGAGTCTTGGGGGGGGGGAGTCATGACTGTTTAAGGTGGTATGATCCTGCTTTAAATACGTAGCGCGGATGGGGCCTGTGATTTCTCAATGCTAGTACAGAGTTTTGCCTGTAACACCGCACATTATGCTCTTTGCTATGTTGAACAGCACTCAGTTCAATGAACAGTAGATACCCTTCTCCGTTGTGACCGTTGTTTGTTCTGCATGTGAGTTGCCTAGCAGCGGAACCCTGAAGAAAGAAATGTGTAAAAATCAACTATATAGGTGGAAATGAACCCCAAAAAGCACCTTTCCTACAGGGAAAACTTACACAGGTTTTTGAACGGCCAAACAGCTATTGGTTAAAAAAAAAGAGAGAGCAAATCTTGTTATCAAAAACAGCAACCTTTGAATATGCTGCAGTTTACACTTCATGGTTAGATAAAAGGTACTTTGACAAGGTAATTTTTATACGCACACACACATTAAGTGCATAATTTTATGTCTGATGAAAACTGAAGTTTTCCTACATTAAGTGGAATGGACTGGGGGGGGATCAGTCTTTTTTGTGTAAAAGGTTGAATTGATGCTTATTTATATACAATGCCTAAACTACTGATTGGTTTTCGGGGACATGGGGCTTAACTATAGCCATATTTGTAATGTTCTATGAAGTTGATTTTGGTTCTGTCTGCTATTTTTTGTCTGTCTAATTGAAAAATTACTGTAAAAGCAAGAACTATTAAATTTTATATGTCAGTTTGTAACCATTCTGTTACCTTTACCCAATGTTTATAATTATTACTTAAACGTTTCCCTGGAGGGTGGGAAGCCAATACAATGCCTGCAGATATCTCAAACTGTGTTACTGTTCACCTTCACAGCTTCAATCAATGTGGGAATTCCTTAACTAGCATTTATGATCTAGAATGGTGGAAACTAGGGATTGGTGAAGAGCACACAAAAAATGCTCTTTGTAGCTTTGTCCTAATACCCGCCAATTATTTTGCATGTATTGATGTATGAAGAGTCCTTTCTAAAACTTGGAAGCCACTATTTCCATTATTAGGGTGGTGAGATGGGGCCAATGGACAATTATCAGATGAAGGCAAAAAAATATTTTGGTTGGTTGCCACCAGACTTTTTTTCAGCCAGAACTCAGTTCCTGCACCTCTCAGGTGGGTGCCATTGCCATTATAAGAGAAGAAGGGAGGTGTTCATGGTGAGTTCCTTCCAGGTGCTATTTTTCCAGAAAAATAGCACTGGGAGGCACAATACTCCAGGGGGGGGGTGTCCAAGAGCCCTCCTGCCACCTTCCCCAAGTCTGCTCGGCTTCGGGAAGGAGGCAGGAGGCCTTCAGCATCCTGTAAGAGGCTTGACGCCTCCTTCCCAAAACATGGGAAGCTTATACCCAGCTTTAGGGAGGGAAGCACGATGCTCACATGTCTGACATCAGGACATAGTTACACACCCACCCACCCCCATATCGCCCTTGCAACCTCTGGCCCTAACTGTTGCCCTACAAAAAAATTCACCATGCCACTGCTTGAAAACATTTGACTTTACTTATCTTAAGCCCTCCAGAAGCTGCTGGACTCCAACTCCCATCAGCCGCAGCCAGCATGACCAATGGTTGGATATGTTGGAAGGTGTCGTCTGATGGACTTAAGAGGTTCCCTTCCCTGCTCTTAAGTCGTAGGCACCAGCAAGCACTCAATTGTCAGAGCTCTGTCCCTTTATTATTAAGTGTACCCTTATAGAATATCTGCAGCTGTTCTTGTTCAGCGAAAGGCACAGTGTATTGTCCCTATGTGTTTTCAACAAATGCTTCTCATCCATAAATGAAAAATCATTGAAAAATCCAATCTTGCTAAGGAGCTAAGGGAGGCATATATCACCTTCCCTTTCCAGAACAATCTTGTTCGCCTTTGCACACAGGCTGCAAATGAGCAGCCCATCATGCCATCTGCTTGTTTTGCAATGTATATAATGTACATAATTGCTCTGGCCTGCATGTACACATACCCTCAGAGAAAGCGATGAAGAGCAGTGCCAACTAGATTGACCTGGCTGCTCTTATCATTATCATTGGCCTGCTTGGGCAATTGCCTAAATAAATGCACATGCCTTGCTCTGGCCTGTAGGACAGTGCACTTGGCCTTCGGTGAAGCAAATAGAACGGGGGTGGACTTTGGTAATATGGCACCCTGAGCAGAGCAAAATTTGATGCCCTCTTCCACTCTGCACTATGTCATAGTTTTGGCTAGGTGCCCTGGGGGGGGGGACTGACAACAGTGCCCTAAATCCAGCACCTCCCCGTGTATGGTGTAGTGCAGAGACTAGGAAGGTGAGCTTGGCATCTTGGGATCAGCTCTTTTCAACCTTTATATATATATATATTCCTCTTTATACTCCCAGTAGCCTTTCAAAGCTGCTTACAAAAGCTTTTCAAAATTCAATCACATAACTGGCAGATTCTGCTTGCACAATTCCAGTTGCTTGACAAAAGCAGCTTCCCCAAAATACAGGACTTTCTGTGATAAGGAAAGTGTGGGGTGACTTTTGCCATAACACAATATCATTTCACTGCTGCACAAACAAATCAAAGGATGAATGCCCAGTATGTTTAATAAGCAGTTAGTCTGGAAGCACCCCCTAGTAAAGCCATTTGAAATAAATGAACATGCTTAAAATTGGAATGCCAGACTCAGCTTA